CAGAGAATTAGGTGGCTGGATGGAGTCACTGCTCAGAGACCCTTGTTTACGAGATGGGCAGTCATATCAATTTGACAAATAAATAATGAATCCTATTTGTCATTTACTTCCATTTCTTTCTTGGTCATCCATTGTGCCGATTAGTGTACATTCAAGATGATAATAAAGTTATTCTATTCTATTCTTTCTCCTAAATTGGAGACAGCAATCAGACATTTTATTCTCTGTAAAATCTACAGATCGTCCTTGATTTACGACCATTTGTTTAGTAACTGTTTGAATTTACAATGGCATGGACTTAACTGTCACAGCATCTCCATGGCCATGGGGTCAAAATTTGGACACTGGCATCTAGCATGTTTGCAATGGTTGAAGCATCCTGCAGTGACATGACCGTCACTTGCAACCTTCCTTACAAGATTCCAACTAAGTCAATGGCAGAAACTGGATTCACTTAACTGTGGCAAAAAAAATGTAAAATTGACCACAACTCACTTAATGGCGGCTTTGCTTAGTGGCAGAAGTTCCCAACTGTGGTCATAAATCAAGGACTACCTACCTGTATGCCAATTCAAAGCACTTTATAAATAAATACATAAGGATAATTTGAGGCATTTGAGTCAGCTGTTCTGCACTGAACTTTTCAAATCAGCTTTTATTTTTTTCTGTCCATAGAAATTAGAATGAAATGAATCACTCTGCACCTTATTTCCTTAAAATGTTGTTTTTTTAATGACTGCTGGTGTTCACATCTTAATTCAGAATTGCAATTGGTTATATGTCATTAAGTCTTATGTTGACTCTTAGCAAGCACATGGATATTCTGTGTGATTTATGACAATTCAGAACTGCTTTTCTAAATTCAAAAGAATGGACGGAAGGGAAGGGAAAGGAAGATTTCCAATACTCCCTGCCAGATTTCAGAAGAAAATTCACTAGGGAAACCAGAAGAAACTCTGAGGTTGCTCCCACTCCCATTGCTTTTTTGCCCACCCATGTTCATTTTGTTTCTGTTTAAAGAAATATCACTGAAACTAAGACTCAGAGGGACACGGGCTGTCTAGTGGTGAAACAGATTATCAAAGTAACTCATTTTGGAGATCTGCTACAGCAAATAGAACCATAAATAAACCAATGGGTAGAGCTCAAGCAAGCACTAAATTGCCCAAAACGAACATCTTTATTGTGGTCAATGACTAGGCCATAAAAGTTACACAAATAAACGTTTTCCTGATTCAATGAGTTGTATGAAATCAGCCCGTCAAAGATAATGATGTTCCAGTTTCAAAAAAGTAACCCATCATCTCGGAAAGGATCGCATTTGAGAATTTTAAGTAGGTGATTCAGAATCAGAAATGCAAAATTAGCTCATTTCAAATATTGAAACCCAACTTTCAAACCCAGTTTGGAAGATGGTCAATCCGATTATACTTAACTAGTCGTTGAACTGACAAAAAGTGAAATGGAAATCTGAAAGGATAGGATGGGATTTTCATCCTTTTGGGGGAGGGGGTTGATTTTTAATAAGTTACCAAAATTAGCAATTTTCTCAATCTACATCCCCCCCCCCCCCCAAAAAAAAAAAAAAAATCTAAGGCATTTAAAAAAGATTCATCCACCCAGGCAAATGCAGCTTGTAAAAAAAAATCTGGATATGAAGGATTTTATCTAGGATTACTTTGTAGAATTGAATGAAGACCTTGATTTATGTATGACAAGCTCATCCGTTTTTAAAGAGTTAATGCAAGCAGCTACCAAAATGTGTTCTTGGATATTGTGGTTCCTCTTGAATCTCCACAATGCAAATGCAATTTTGGTGTTTGTACCTGGATAAGAATTTAGCAAAGTGTCTGATTTAGCAAATTGGCTGGAACAGGGATTAAAAAACATGAGAAAGCACAGTTGACAATTTCGCCTACCCCTAGTTGAGGGCAACAGCAGACTCAAAGACATCCCAATCTGCTTTCAGAGAAAAACATTTGACCCAATTCTTACTCCACCCAGAACATATGATCTCTCCAATACCTGTAATTACTGTTCGATTTCATAATCATTAGCTGTCACATGAATGGTGCGCTATGGCCGCTCTGTATCAATTATCATAGTGATTGCATTGTTGAAGGTAATGTTTCATTATTTTTCTATGCAAAGAATTAAAGACAAAAAAATCATGGAACCTGCCATGCGTACAAAAAGGATGGCCAGAAAATTAAGGACTTTTATGTTTCAATTATGTCTTTTTAAAAATAAAACAGTGAGGTCTGTTGATGGGGAGGAAGACTAAGAGAAGATAACTAACTCCCAGCTTTAAATGCAGCCATTGTTTTATGCCAACTGAAGTTTACTGAGGTTCTGTAAACATTCTGATTCTCGTGTCATCCAAAACTGTTTTAATGGCAGATGTCTGTCCCAAAGCTACTATGCCAACTGACAGCCAGGCAGCAGAGAACTTCCAGTTTAAACAGAGAAACTACTTTTGACCTATTGACACTTCCTGCCCACATACTGCAATTTTTAACTACAGCCAAATCATTCAAATTTTGGAGGGGGGGGGAGAGAGTTGAACCAGTAAAGCAAAAGGCAGCATGTTCTGCTTCCGTTTGGCTTGGCGCGTGCTTCCAGGCCCCGAAGAATGTGAAGTAGGAGTCTTTGTTTGCTTTGCAAGACAATAAAACTGAAAGCAAACAAGGGTCGAGATTTGTCAGACTATACAGCCATGAGTCTGGTATTCTTCTGGCAAGAGCCAACAACACATGGTATGTGTGTGTGTGAGAGACTAAGCCAATCGCTGAAGGAGAAATACTTGTTTCTTTTACTCTCCTCCTGCTACTTCTATTAAAATTACCCCTTGTTGCTATTTGTGTCTAACCAAAAGAAAATGTATAGGCACCTGCGTGGCTTCCTCTGTAAGGCAAGATAGCAAAAAAGAATTAGAAAAATAGCACAGTTCTAAGAGAAATCAGCTCAACTACACCCAGGAATTTTAAAAAAATATGCACACAAAGTCTGGGTCACATGTATCAATAAGACAGTCTAAATCCTGGTTTGCTGGCTACATCAGAGTGGGTTAGACTTGCAAAGCATGCCAAGTCGAAAGCAAACAAACCACACCATTTAGCCTGTAGTATGGACAAAGGCAGACAAACTTTTGTTAAAGCTACAATGAAGTTAACAGCTTGTGGTTTGCATGCACAAACTCATTCATTCTCTTAGCATGGTTATGTGAACCTCTATAGGATTAAAATATGATCGGTTTCAGCATAGCATAATTTGGGAATACAACAGCTTATGCTTGCTGTTATTACATAGGCCAGCTTTTGTGCAAGATGACCTCCTGGAAATACGAGGATACTTCTATAGCAGGGGTGTCAAACTGGCTGCCCACGGGATAGTTGCATCATGCGCAGACCACGTCCACCCCAGCTCCACGAATGGGAAAAAAGTTGGGAAATGGCACGTAACAGCAATGTAACGCAGCGAGTTTGACACCCATGTTCTCTAGGATAATTCTATTGCTTCTAATAAAGGTTCTCGTTGCTTTTAACACTTAATTAACATAATATATGTTCTTTAGTGGGTTAGACATTGTTGCAAAGAATGTGAACGATTCTGGTACAGCCATTCTCAAGATGTAGAAGGAATGGCATAATCTTGGGGGAGGAGTCAAAAATGGGCTCAGCCTAGAATCTCTACATAGCCTCAAATGGACTAAGTCCAACCCCACCTCCCCTTGAATTCTGTCAACCCTTCTCTAGCATCACAACAGTGCTGTTATTTGAGTAGATTCCTGGCATAAGCAAAAGAATGGCAACAGAACTTCACATGTGGTCCTGGTCTTTCACGCCCGACACAAAATCAGCTTAAGAGCTTTCCAAGACACCTGGTTCTTCCACAGCAACACCAACACTTGCGAAAATGTATCACAAAAAGACTTTTATTTTCTGGACCATAAGAATAAATTTTATGTACTGTATTTGCTAACAAATCAAACGACGCTTTGATAATCAGGGTCATACAATGTATTTTTAACTCATAATGTGGCTTGGTGGGGATACGAGTCTAAGCTGAGATTTCTTCAAATCATGTTTAATCAAACTTAGCTTAGTGTAACGTAGAGTCCAACTTAGGAAAGCTGTGAAAACTTCAGGTGGGATTACACAATGCTAGAAAAAGGTTTGACTGATTTTGATTTACTGTTTTAACATGTGAACCAAGCATGCAATATGAACCCACGCACTTTACAAGCCAACCATTGCTTTCGACTATTGACAAGCCCCAACCTTGTGACCGAATTTCAGATATGATGGAACTGTGGTGGAATAATAACTGGCAGGTCTATTCCCACCCACGCTCCCCTTCCCCCAAAGGAGCAAATGTTAATCCAATTCAAATCTTATTCCCTATAGAGCCTGAGAATAAAAACAATATAGGCAGATCAAGAACATAATGGGAACGGAGGGGATGAGAAAAAACACACACTCGTCTCTTATTTCCATCGATGAAGGGAACAGTGGCATTTCTGGATAGCTTTTCTTTTAAAAAAAGTATCACAGGATAAATGTTGCCTATCAGAAACACAAAAAAAACACAGCCCCTCTCCTTCCACCCCAAGGACTGAGACAACCAAACCAAGCCTTGCTCCTGCTCTTCCCATCTTTATTTGTAGAACTCATGTTCCTGTTCGTCTTTCTTGATGACTGTTTTGTAGGCTTTTTCAAAGTCCTTGGCGAGGACAATGTAACGGTTCTCCCGTACAGCCAGCATCCCAGCCTAAAAGGGAAGAATGAGAAGATAAGGAGCTGGGAAGAAGGGAAAATGTTTCAGACACCAACTATGAAAAAAAGGGAGCGCTCACAACAAAAGAAGAGAGGTGGAAAGACATCGTGTAAGCAATGGTCAAAGGCATGTTCTTGTTCTTGATTTATAATTCACACCATCTGGGCAAGATGTTCTGGTAACTGCAGTCCAATGTAATTGCCCAAGGAAGCAGTAGCCTCCCTTCAATGGATGTCAACGAACTGTTGATTATGTTAACATTTGGATTCCTGCACTGAAAACTGAAGTATGTTTGCACTTCCCAGCCCACTACAGCCACTGCAAATATAGACACATACAGATACCATACAAATCCATTTATTCAGAGGGTCCCTACTTTAATTCCCAATTCCCAACTGGTTAGAAACCAAAACTAATATTGCTGTTTGCTGGATCTCATTCAGCAATTTTTCCCTTTACTTCCATATATAATGCTTTGTTTCTTCTTCTCTTTTATCCCATAAGTGGAAATGCCACCGATTGGGGAGGGGGATGTCTGCTAAAAGCTACCACTAGAAGAATAAACCCAGTGAGATGGGTAAGATATCAGATGTAACGCTGGCAAGGAACCTTAGTCCTCCTACAGAGTTTGTTATAGAGGCAAGATCCAAACTCGTGACTCGCAGCTCATAGCTTAAGTTCCTGGCTACCAGCCTACACACGTTCTCTCACAGAAGTTGACCCAAGAGGAGCATGATTCACAGCCTAACATTTCATGCCCATTTTTTTTTTCTCCTCCTCTGAAGATGTTTCTCATTTCCCCAATCGTTAAGATTGCTAGACAAGAATAAAGAGGAAGTGGAGCTGAACACTGATGGCCATCTGCTTCTTTGGAGCACCTAACAAGAGCATACAAACCTCCTGGCAAATGGAGTTGATGTCAGCTCCCGAGATCTTATCAGGTCGTGCCACATCTAGGAGGAGTGAAGGAAAGAGATAGGAGAGAAAAGGCCCAACCTGACCATCCCACAATTTTAGCTAGCTGACCTTCTGCAATTGGGATTATTCTCTTCTAAGTGGTCACCTTTCTATTTGACCCAGTGAAAATGTTACAGGAAAATCAACAGATGGGGACCAATTATTGAAATAAAAGTGAAGTAATCACTTCATTGGAAAGGGTACAGATTCTCCCAATCAAGCTTCACGAGGATTGGGGCCTCCTTTCCTTCTGAAGGATTAGTGCCTGATGGGCCTGATGAGAATTGGGAGGAATCCGGCAGTAACACAAAATGGAATTGGTTGATATCCCATTTCATAACAAAGAGCCCTGGCAGATTAGGCAAGAACGCAACAAATGCCCAACCCACTTGCTTTGTTTTCAAAGCCAAACAGAAAACAGCTCTAACCACTCAGGAGAAACTATTATAGCATGAATACTCCCTCCCAAGGTAGCCGCCTCTAATTTGTTCCTGGAGGAGGGATCCTTTGGACAAGCAGCAGCAGCAACTCCTGCAACGCAGCAATTAGTGGAGTGAGCGGGAAGAATGGCCCCAGGAAAGCAGCTGAAATTTATGCATCTTAAGCAATGATTGAAACACTGAAGTTTTTTTGGTTTACTAAATGTTTATCCTGCCCTTGATTCAGAAGCTCAAGGTACTCCACACAGCACTGTTCCTTTTATTTTTCTCCCAGTAATGACCCATGGACCTACATTGGACTAAGAATGAATGAATGACTGGCCCAAAGTAACATTGCAAATTTCTATGGATAAGGGTAGACTAGAATTTGGGTCTCTTTTCTCCAACACCTTAACCAGCATTCCAATCCTTGATCAGGGAGGCTCAGGTGCAAGTCCTCACTTGAACTTATAGGTCGCAGGGTGACTCTGAGTCTGGTATCCACTCTCAGAAAAGCCTACTTCATAGACTTAGAAGGGAAAAATAGAGAGGGGTGTCTATATACACAACTTTGAATTAACAGAAAAAAGGGAGGATAAAATGAAATCATACAAATGAAACCATACAATTATGAGATGCTGGAAGTTGAATACTTTGCCCCAATAAGATGTGCTAGACCCCAATCCTTGGTCCCTTGCAACCTGCTGCCTGAAGTGGAAGCTGTAATCTATCTCAAAGGGGGAGTCCTGAGCAACTTTACATAATTTCTTTACAAGAATATTGGGTTGGAAAGAATTCCCCCCCCCCCCCTAAAAAAAACCCACCCAGACAGATTCCAACCATTCTGCTCTATAGATCAGGGGACTCCAAATTTAACAACTTTAAGACTTGGGGGCTTCAACTCCCAGAATTCCCCAGACAGAGCTGAGGAATTCTGGGAGTTGAAGTCCATAAGTCTTAAAAGTAGTTAAGTTTGGAGACCCCTGCTATAGATGAATGTAGCAATGTCCCTCCAATAAGGCACACACAAAAATGGGTCTCTTCTTTTGACCAAGTTCTTGTCAAGGATACAATCTTCCAGATCCACCTCCTCAGATAGATTCATCTTGCTGGTGATAGTAGAGAAGATTAAACGCTTTTGGCGTCTATCTGGCAGAGGAAACTCGATTTTACGATCTAGACGGCCTGGTCGGAGCAAAGCAGGATCAAGGGTGTCTGCTCGGTTTGTGGCCATTATCACCTGTGCTCAAAAGAACAAGAAGAAACCACACCAATCCTGAATTTTGAGGTGCCAATTCAGCCCAAAGCTATATTCATGGCTTGTGTACTCTTAAACACAGATGACTAAGGCAGATAGTGAACTGAAGTTTAATAAGTAAACTGTGAGAATCTTTCCC